TTAGCTGTAGCTGTCCTTCTCAGCCTGTGATTGGCCCACAGAGGAGCGGGGCGGGGCTATGAGAACTGGCTTCGCCTCTGGTTCACCTGAAAACAGATCAGACATGTGAATGAATGTGTGTGTTCAATATATTTATTACATTTATAATTCAGGCTCTGGTCTCTCTCTGGTCTCTCTCTCTGGTCTCTCTCTGGTCTCTCTCTCTGGTCTCTCTCTGGTCTCTCTCTGGTCTCTCTCTCTGGTCTCTCTCTGGTCTCTCTCTCTGGTCTCTCTCTGGTCTCTCTCTCTGGTCTCTCTCTGGTCTCTCTCTCTGGTCTCTCTCTCTGGTCTCTCTCTCTGGTCTCTCTCTGGTCTTTCTCTGGTCTGTCTCTGGTCTCTCTCTGGTCTGTCTCTGGTCTCTCTCTGGCTCTCTCTCTGGTCTCTCTCTGGTCTCTCTCTGGTCTGTCTCTGGTCTCTCTCTGGTCTCTCTCTGGTCTTTCTCTGGTCTGTCTCTGGTCTCTCTCTGGTCTCTAGCTGGTCTCTCTCTGGTCTGTCTCTGGTCTCTCTCTGGTCTCAGACCTCTCAGTTTGGGGACCAGTTGGTTCCAGAAGGAGCACTGGACTGGTCTCAGGCCACGGGTAGATCTGGGGGTGGGGCTTAGTTCCAGGTAAGTGGGCGTGGTCTCTGTTTGTAGGACACGCCCCCAACGTGGAAGCACAGACTCCGGAAGTAGACGAGACGGGTTTGGGTCTCTGCGGGAACGAGACATAGTTTAGACCTGGTTTAGATCTAGTTCAGACATGGTTTAGACCTGGTTTAGACCAGGTTCAGTTCTTGTTCAGTCACTCTTTCTTGTCCTTGTTCTAACCCGGTTCAGGTTAGGTCCTGGTCCTTGTCTTTTTAAGTCCCAGTTAAGTCCTGGTTCTGACCCGGTCTTGATGAACTGTGTCACGTATGACATCATCGCCTCAGATATCTTGCGTTCCACGGCGGTGAAACGCTGCGAGCTGATTGGATGAAGCGGTCCCCCAAACAGGAACTGGACGTCGATGGGAATGCGGACGTCGGCCCTGAGAAAAGATACGATACAAAACATGCTAACAATAACTCAAGCTAATGCTAGCTCAGGCTAAAGCTTACTCTGACAAAAGCTAACATAGGCTAACTCAAGCTGTCTCTCACTTGGTTTTTGCGATCCCTCACTAGGTGTTTGCGATCTCTCATCAGGTGTTTGCAATCTTTCACCTGGTGTTTGCTATTTCTCACCTGGTGTTTGCAATCTCTCACCTGGTGTTTGTGGTCTCTCACCTGGTGTTTACAATGTTTCACCGGGTGTTTGCGGTCTCTCGCCTGGTGTTTATGATCTCTCACCTAGTGTTTGCGGTCTCTCACCTGGTGTTTGCGATCTTTCACCGGGTGTTTGTGGTCTCTCACCTGGTTTTTGCGGTCTCTCACCTGGTGTTTGTGGCTGGGACGTGGTACAGATAAACGCTAGCTTCAGTCTGAGCGAAAACTTCAGCCATCTTCAGAGACGGACACACAACAAACAGGTCCCTACGGAGACCGGGATGAGACCAAGGTGAGACCAGAATGAGACCAGGGTGAGACCGGGGTCACAACAGAGGACAAACCCTAGACCTGGTCACAACAGAGGACACACTCTAGACCTAGTCCATTACAGAGGACACACTCTAGACCTGGTCCACAACAGAGGACAGACTCTAGACCTGGTCACAACAGAGGACACACTCTAGACCTAGTCCATTACAGAGGACACACTCTAGACCTGGTCCACAACAGAGGACACACTCTAGACTTAGATTAGTCATGTATTCATTTGTTTAGTCTCTTCCGTGGTGTTAAGGCATAGATTGTAATTTTCAGATTTTGCACCTTGTAGCGTTGTCCAGAGCTCTTGAGAACAGGTTGTAGGAGGACGGGGAGGGTTTGTGTTCCAGAGTATAGAGCCAGGATGCCGCCTCCTTCAGAATGGCCCTGTTTGGACCTGTAGTCTGGTTACGATCCGACTCCAGACCCAGAGACCGGACCAGAGCTTCATAGAACACAGTCTTCGAGTCTGTCCGACCTGACAGCTCCTCAAACTTCTGCGTCATTCAAATAAACAACTGTTACAAACATCTGTGGCTCTAAATAGTCCTGGTCTAGTCCTGGTCCAGACTTGGTCCAGCGCTGGTTCAGTTTAGTTCTGGTCTTGACCTGGTCCAGACCTAGTTCAGTTCTGGTACCTTGATGGTCCTGGCTCGGCTGATGAGTCCGTCGGTCTCGGATGTCCCCAGCAGGAGGTCCACTCGGTGCAGTCTTCGGTCGAAGTCTCGTTCCGGTTTCAGGACTGGACCCCAGGCCGTGAGGGGTCCGGTCTGGGCCAAGATCCGGGTCTGGGCCTGGTTCAGTCTAGTCAGGTCAGCTTCCTGGAGACAGCGTATCACACGATCGGCGTCCATGATGTCACACCCGAGCTCACGAGCCAGATCCATGGAGAGGCTCCGAGAGTCTGAGCGGAGGAGAAAGGGAGAGAAGACAGAGCCCCCCTGTGGACACACACAGGAGTGCAGGAATTACACTGCTGCAGGGAGGACGAGGAGTCACAGCAACAATAGCAGTAGCAGTAGTAGTAGTACTAGTAGCAGCAATAGTTGTAGTATCAGTAGTGATTCTAGTAGTAGTATTACCATGAGTAGGAGCCTGTTGAATAGTGGTTGCCCCGGTAACCGCAGGTGTGTACTGAGCATGTCTGCGCCCTGACGTTCCGCCCCCGCTGTCACTCTGTCTTTAGCCCCGCCCACCAGGTGGATGTGGGCAGAGACCCACTGAAGCACCGCCTCCTGGTCCGACAGGCCGGCGTCTGAGAGAGCAAAGCCCAGAGCAGAGCTCCGATACTGGGCAGAGACCACCACCAGGTCCCCCCGTGCGGAGAGGAGGGACCCATCCAGGAACCCTGAGGAGGAAAGTTACAGACCCCAGCTTTAAACATGTGTTATTTATGAGACTAAAGTTACAGACCCCAGCTTTAAATATGTGTTATTTATGAGACTAAAGTTACAGACCCCAGCCCTAAATATGTGCAGACCAAAGCTGTAGTTCCATGTCTCACCTGTGGGGGAGTTGTAAAAGTATACCAGGACCGGCAGCGCCCCCCTCTGGTTGCGAGGTGTAAAGACGTTCAGATACAGACAGTCCTCGCTCGCCCCGCTCTCTCTCCCTGGCTCCACACACGAGGGGCGGGGCTTTGTGGCATCCCAAGCTCCCGTCCAATCAGAAGGCTGGGCTGGGGTGAATCGCAGCACTCCAATTGGTGGCCGCGCAAAGGGAACGCCGAGGAACTGCACCACAGACCTGGTCCGGTCCGAGTCCAAGACCACGTCCACGGTTTGGCCCCGGAGAGACCGAGAGCCAGGCAGGTCCAGGGTCTGGGGCTGGACCCTGTCAGCTGGAGAGACAAACAGCTATTCTATCAGCTTTATGATAATAATAATGATATATTTTATTTATGTGGCGCCTTCTATCTACTTTATACACGCTATACCTGGTCCACAACAGAGGACACCCTCTAGACCTGGTCCATAACAGAAGATACACTCTAGACCTGGTCACAACAGAGGACACACTATAAACCTGGTCCATAACAGAAGATACATTCTAGACCTGGTCACAACAGAGGACACACTCTAGACCAGGTCCATAACAGAAGATACATACTAGACCTGGTCACAACAGAGGACACACTCTAGACCTGGATTATTCATGTTTAGTTTTACAGTCTCCTTCTATCAGCTGTGGGCAGTGCTTACCTCAGATGGGGGTGGGGCTTACCTGGTCTCACATACACCTGGTGGGCGGGCTCTTGGAGGACCAGCTGACAGGAGACGGAGCTACAGACCCTGGTGTCTGGATACAGGAGACAGCGCCCCCCACTGGCCGAGAGCGAGAAGGCCACCGCGAAACAGGACGAGGACTCCTGACAAGCTGAGACCAGGGACCAGAGGTTAGATCAGTGATAAGACCAGGGACCAGTGGTTAGACCAGAGAGAGACCAGGGCTAAGACCATGGACCAGAGGCCAGACCAGGGATGAGACCAGGGACCAGAGGTTAGACCAGAGACCAAAGAAAAGACCAGAGCTAGACTACAGAGAGACCAGAGGGACCAGAGAGAGACCAGAGGCACACAGGTCTCTTACCGTGCAGACACCAGTCCAACGCCTTCTCTCGGTCCTCGATGATGTCACGGCTCAGGTGGATGATGTCATAGGTGTTGAGGGCGGGGTCTACGAGCAATTGGGCAGGGCCAGAGACTGAACTCCACATGGTCCGGTTCAGGACAGTCCTGGTCTGAGGGAGTCTGAAGTCTGGACACAGACCAGGACTGGAGCTCCACTGGTCTACGGGCTTCTGGTACCAACCCAAAGGGACGGGGGAGGCGAGGAGGGGGGAGGGGCTGGGAGAGACCGAAACAGGGTTAGACCAAGACCGGTTTCAGTCCTGGTCCTGGTTCAGTCTTGTTCAGTCCTGGTCTCTGCTTTAGTCCTGGTATCTGCTTTAGTCCTGGTTTAGTCCTGGTCTCTGCTTTAGTCCTGGTCCTGGTTTAGTCCTGGTTTAGTCTTGTTCTTGTCCTGGTCCTGCTCTCTGGTACCTGCAGTCTTGTGTAGTCCACTGGGTCTGGTTTTCGGGGCAGGTGAGGACTCCAAGGCTGATGAGGGGCAAACAGACTAGACCAAATTCAGACCCGGTCTTTGGGTCTCGGATCAGACCGAACCCTCTGCAGCAGTGGTCTTCATCACAGCGGCGCTCACACTCACGGAAACTGGAAGAAAAGAGAAGAGCTCTGAGTGCAGACGCTGCTCCCCCTGCACCACAACAGCCCAACACTTCAGACGAGAGCTCTGAGTGCGGCCGCTGCTCCCTGACCTGAGGTGTGGGCTTACCTCTCCGACACAGAACTGGTCTCTGGGACCTGGATCCTGGTCCGGACCGAGTATGAGACCATCTTCCTGAACGGAACTCTTTGATAGAAGCTTTTCACTGGGCCAGACAAGTCCACTGGGGAGAGAGATACAAGACCTGAGACCAGACCCAAGACCAGACCTGGACCAGATCCAAGACCAGACCCAAACTAGACCTGGGACCAGACCTTGACCAGACACAAGACCAGACCCAGATACGACCCAGACACGAGTTACAGTCTGTGGACAGGTGTAGTTACAGTGACAGGTGTAGTTACAGTCTGTGGACAGGTGTAGTTACAGTGACAGGTGTAGTTACAGTCTGTGGACAGGTGTAGTTACAGTGACAGGTGTAGTTACAGCCTGTGGACAGGTGTAGTTACAGTGACAGGTGTAGTTACAGTCTGTGGACAGCTGTAGTTACAGTCTGTGGACAGCTGTAGTTACAGTCTGTGGACAGCTGTAGTTACAGTCTGTGGACAGGTGTAGTTACAGTCTGTGGACAGCTGTAGTTACAGTCTGTGGACAGGTGTAGTTACAGTCTGTGGACAGCTGTAGTTACAGTCTGTGGACAGGTGTAGTTACAGTCTGTGGACAGGTGTAGTTACAGTCTGTGGACAGGTGTAGTTACAGTGACAGGTGTAGTTACAGTCTGTGGACAGGTGTAGTTACAGTGGCAGGTGTAGTTACAGTCTGTGGACAGGTGTAGTTACAGTGACGGGTGTAGTTACAGTCTGTGGACAGGTGTAGTTACAGTGACAGGTGTAGTTACAGTCTGTGGACAGGTGTAGTTACAGTGACAGGTGTAGTTACAGTCTGTGGACAGGTGTAGTTACAGTGACATGTGTAGTTACAGTCTGTGGACAGGTGTAGTTACAGTCTGTGGACAGGTGTAGTTACAGTGACAGGTGTAGTTACAGTCTGTGGACAGGTGTAGTTACAGTGACAGGTGTAGTTACAGTCTGTGGACAGCTGTAGTTACAGTCTGTGGACAGGTGTAGTTACAGTCTGTGGACAGGTGTAGTTACAGTGACAGGTGTAGTTACAGTCTGGACAGGTGTAGTTACAGTGACGGGTGTAGTTACAGTGACAGGTGTAGTTACAGTCTGTGGACAGGTGTAGTTACAGTGACAGGTGTAGTTACAGTCTGTGGACAGGTGTAGTTACAGTGACAGGTGTAGTTACTGTCTGTGGACAGGTGTAGTTACAGTCTGTGGACAGGTCCTCTCAGGTCCATAAAATCACATGTGGTGTGCCCCAGGGTTCCATTTTAGGTCCAGTCCTTTTTAACCTGTACATGCTCCCTCTTGGCGGTGTCATCAGGAGACATGGAATTGACTTCCACAGTTATGCAGATGATACACAGCTGTACATCTCCATGTCTCCTGATGACACCAGGCCAATGGATGCTCTTTTTAACTGCATTTTAGACCTGAAATCCTGGATGGCAGAAAACTTTCTCCAGCTCAACCAGGACAAAACTGAGGTTTTAGTCATCGGTCCTGAGGCCCAGAGAGAGAAACTTTTATCAAAACTCCAATCACACTCTTTTAATCCATCATCACAAGTGAAAAATCTGGGCGTAATCTTTGACTCTGAGCTGACTTTTATTCCTCACATCAAGAGTATCACAAAAATAGGTTTTTATCATCTAAAGAACATCGCCAGAGTCCGCCCCATTCTCCCTCGGGGCAACACGGAGACGCTGATGCATGCTTTTATCACCAGTCGCATTGACTATTGTAATGCCCTGCTCTCTGGTCTTCCCAAAAAGAACATTGCAAGTCTTCAATTACTCCAAAACTCGGCCGCACGTGTCCTGACTAAGACCAGGGGGCGGGACCACATTACACCGGTTTTAAAATCGCTGCATTGGCTCCCCGTGTGTTTCAGGATCGATTTTAAGGTTCTTTTAATGGTTTTTAAATGTCTTAATGGTCTTGGGCCTTCTTATCTTTCAGATTTGCTTTTATCTTATGAACCTTCCCGGCCCCTGCGCTCCTCCGGCAGCAGACTCCTAACCATCCCCAAAGTCAGGACACACACTCACGGCGAGGCATCTTTCCAGCACTACGGCCCCCGTCTCTGGAACAGTCTGCCGGAGGAGCTCAGGGCTGCAGAGAACGTTACTTTTTTTAAAAGTAGGCTCAAGACACACTTTTTTAGATTAGCTTTTGATTAGTTTTTATTATTCAATTCTATTTATCTTTTATTATTTATTATTTATTATATTGCTATTGCTATTATTCATGTATTGTGTGTTCCTTTTAGTCTCACATTTTAGTGTTTTACTTATTGTATTGTTTTTAGTGTACCCAGTGTTTCCTCTGGAGGAGCCCTCTGCACTGGGAGCGGTGGTTGGTGTGGCTGCGGGGGTCGGACTCTTGGGCCTGGTGGGGGCCTGGGGCCTCGGTTTCATGTCTCCTCTGGGTCCTGTGTCGTCCCTTGTGGCTACGGGCGGCTCTCTGCTCCTGGTGCAGACGGCTCCTTGGATGACGCTTTTTCAGCTGGTTGCATCTGAACCCTGCCAAGTCTCTCATCATGGTTTTATTGTTTTACTGGTGTGTGTGTGTGTGTGTGTGTGTATATGAGTGTTCATGAGCGCGTGTGTGTGTTTGTGGTTTGGGGTGGGTCTGTTTGGTGGTCTGAGGGAGGGGTCTTGGGTCGGCGGGATTGTTTTTAACCAAACTGTAAAGCACTTTGTGTTGCATCTTTTGTATGAAAAGCGCTTTATAAATAAAATTTGATTGATTGATTGAGGTGTAGTTACAGTGACAGGTGTAGTTACAGTCTGTGGACAGGTGTAGTTACAGTGACAGGTGTAGTTACAGTCTGTGGACAGGTGTAGTTACTGTGATAGGTGTAGTTACAGTGACAGGTGTAGTTACAGTGACAGGTGTAGTTACAGTCTGTGGACAGGTGTAGTTACAGTCTGTGGACAGGTGTAGTTACAGTGACAGGTGTAGTTACAGTCTGTGGACAGGTGTAGTTACAGTGACAGGTGTAGTTACAGTCTGTGGACAGCAGGTGTTTATGTAGGTGTTAAAGGCGCGTTCAGACCAAAAGCTTCAAAAAGCTTTTGACGCGCTTCAACTGACGCCGGGATAGTTTTGTCATTTTGGTGCTTGAAGCTTTTGACGCGAGTGACGTGCCTGACTGCTAATTTACACATCACGCGTTACAGCACGTACGCGTTATACGCGTTACAGCACGTACGCGTTATACGCGCAGCAGACGCGCGTAACTTTTTTCCATGTTAACCTATGATGATATTTACACTTCTAGCGTTATACGCGCGTATGACGGACATGTGACGCGAAGCTGCGCTCTAATTTAGGATGGATTTCTAATTTTGTGCGCGCACCAACGCGTCTCCCATTGAGATCTCATGTAAAACATGATTTTTCTAGCGGTCCTTGGCTTTAGATCACATCTGCACACACACAGCACTTGTGTCTAAACATCAGCAGGAGGAGCAGCAGGTTTTACAGTGATTCTGGACATCGTTTTTTTTCTTTCATAAAGTCTCGCGTCTGGCGAAACCAGCGCACAGAGACCATGAAGACAAACACATGCATGTGATTTGTGTTGCTCTACATCAGTCCTCTGGCTCGTACTGCGCATTACGCGCAACTCTTGAAGCTTTTGACGCGCGTCAAGTGACGCCGGGGCTCTCGGCTTCACCTGACGCGCTTCACCATTCACTTTCAATGCAAACCTGACGCTTTTGACGCCGAAGTTAAGTCCGGTGTGAACGCCCCTTTACAGTCTCAGCACGAGAGGACTCTGACCTGTCTTTATGTAGGTGTTGTTTGGGGGTCTGGACAGCAGGGGGAGACACTGCTGGCGCTCCGGGTTTGCATAGTCTCCACACACCGCGGTGTTCGGGAACAGTTCACAGAAGAAGAAGTCTGAGTGAAGATCCAAGATGTCCGCCACTGAGCAGAGCGGCTCCGACAGACAACCTGAACACACGGTTATCACGGTAACACAATAAAAAAACATGCAACGACATCCTGGACCAAAAAGTGACTGAATGAAACTCATGCATATTGTATATAACTGTCCCATCGCCATGATAACGTTTAAGATCAGGACGTCCAAGAGAAGCAGTGCATCCTGGGAGCTGTACTCACGCTGAAGGCAGGAGAGCAGTGCATCCTGGGAGCTGTACTCACGTTGAAGGCAGGAGAGCAGTGCATCCTGGGAACTGTAGTTCCTCTTGTTGAACCAGAAAGTCAGACTGGGCTGTTTCTGAGGCGTCACTTTCACCTGCTCCACAGAGAGAGGCTGGAACCGGCTCCGGACCGAGGGGTCTACGGGAAGTCCGGACTCTGGACCAGACTCTGGACTGGAGCAGGATCCTGACGACTTTGGCTCTGAACAAAAACCACGGAATAAAACCAAAGATCAGAGACATCCTGTGTCACAGACCTCACATTACACCGACCTCACATTACACCTGTGTTACAGACCTCACATTACACCTGTGTTACAGACCTCACATTACACCTGTGTTACAGACCTCACATTACTCCTGTGTCACAGACCTCACATTACACCTGTGTTACAGACCTCACATTACTCCTGTATCACAGACCTCATATTACACCTGTGTCACAGACCTCACATTACACCTGTGTTACAGACCTCACATTACTCCTGTGTCACAGACCTCACATTACACCTGTGTTACAGACCTCACATTACACCTGTGTTACAGACCTCACATTACACCTGTGTTACAGACCTCACATTACACCTGTGTCACAGACGTCACATTACACCTGTGTACCTCACATTACACCTGTGTCCTCACATTACACCTGTGTTACAGACCTCACATTACACCTGTGTTACAGACCTCACATTACTCCTGTGTCACAGACCTCACATTACACCTGTTTCACAGACCTCACATCACACCTGTGTCCTCACATTACACCTGTGTAACAGACCTCACATTACACCTGTGTCACAGACCTCACATTACACCGGTGTACCTCACATTACACCTGTGTCCTCACATTACACCTGTGTCCTCACATTACACCTGTGTCCTCACATTACACCTGTGTTACAGACCTCACATTACTCCTGTGTCACAGACCTCACATTACACCTGTGTTACAGACCTCACATTACACCTGTATAAAGATCTCCTTTACTGTGTGATGCAGTGTTCGTTGTACAGTCTGACAGCACCTGACTCAAGCTGAACACTGCTGAACGACACCAGTGAAGCCTGATATTTGTCGTCGTCCATTTGGTCCAGAACCACATCCGAGCGACCTGCAGAGGTCAGAGGTCAGGGGTCAGAGGTCAGAGGTCAGTTTGTTCCAGTCTGATCCAGTTGTGCTCTTACTGAAGAGGAGGGCGGGGCCTCCGATGTCAAACAGGAAGTTGACGTGTTTCTTGTTGTACCTAAACCCCACCCCACAGTCTCGATTGGCAGCTCCTCGACCAATTACGTCCCAGTCCTGGTCTGAGCAGAGCAGGACTGATGGCGAGTGCAGGAGACCACACATGATGGATCCTGAGGGGGACACATTTCACTGTAACACCAGTCTGAGAGACCAGAGAGAGACCAGAAAGAGACCAGAGAGAGACCAGAGAGAGACCACAGTGACACCAGAGAGAGAAAAGAGAGAGACCAGAGACGGACCAGAGTGTTACAGAACTTACCGTTGTTGATGCGGTTCTCGTTGAGCACATACCCCTCACAGCAGGCATCTCTTCTGCACGTGCTCAGGCAGAAGCGCTGCACGTCAGACCGAGTGCTCTGATTGGCCGAGAATACAATTGTACGGTACACGCCTGACTCCGCCTTCTTCAGGGTCACATGATCAGAGGTTGAGTACTCGGACTGAGACCCAGACGAATACCGGTCTCCTGTGGACCAGACCAGAGAGAGACCAGAGAGAGACCAGAGAGAGACCAGAGAGAGACCAGAGAGAGACCAGAGAGAGACCAGAGAGAGACCAGAGAGAGACCAGAGAGAGACCAGAGAGAGACCAGAGAGAGACCAGAGAGAGACCAGAGAGAGACCAGAGAAAGACCAGAGAGAGACCAGAGAGAGATCAGACAAAGACCAGAGAGAGACCAGAGAGAGGCCAGAGAGACCAGAGAGAGACCAGAGAAAGACCAGAGAGAGACCAGAGAGAGACCAGACAAAGACCAGAGAGAGACCAGAGAGAGACCAGAGAGAGACCAGAGGGTTAGAACTCGCATCAGTCTAATAGTCTGTATTAGTGATTGACAGTGTAGCCATAGTAACAGTCTTCACCTGTCTTTCTGAACACCTGTCGTCCTAAAGCTCCGCCCCTCACCTTCACCGCGCAGCGCAGCCAATCAATATGCTCCACCTCAGGATTACCCAGAAACCCTTTGGTCTGAGGGAGAGACGGTGTGAATAGAGTCAGTCAGGAAGGGGGGGTCAGAGAGGGGGGAGGGGGAGTCAGTGGGGGGGGGGGGGGGGGGGGGGGGGTCAGAGAGGGGGAAGGGGGAGTCAGTGAGGGAGGGGAGTCAGTGAGGGGTGAGGGAGGGGAGTCAGTGAGGGGTGAGGGAGGGGACTCAGTGAGGGGTGAGGAGGAGAGGTCAGTGAGGGGGGGTCTCACCACGGTCGCGGTGCTACAGTCAGTGTTCTCTTCGCTCGTGTTGTACAGCTCACATCGGTCGCTCCACAGCGCCACATGGTGGCAGGAGACGGACAGGACACATTCTGCAGAGATCAACATGTGACGTCACTCCCTCACCTCCTCACTCAACCCCCTCAATCACCCCCTCCCTTACCCCCCCTAACCTCCTCACTCACCCCCTCCCTTACCCCCCCTCACCTCCTCACTCACCTCCTCACTCACCCCCCTCACCCACCCCCTCCCTCACCTCCCTCACCCCCCCTCACCTCCTCACTCACCCTTCAGACACAGGGTCCTCTCAGGAGTCACAGTTCTCAGGAGGACAGCTTCAGATCCAGACTGGACCTCAGCGTCAGAGAGCAGCCGGAAGTTACTGAGAGCTGTGGGGGGAGGAGGGGGGAGGAGGGGGGAGGAGGGGGGAGGAATTGAATTATTTATTTCAAACCTGCACAGGAAACACAATTTACAAATGTTCAGACATATTTTCAAGGTTTGAACAGGGGTTGGATGAAGCATTATGCTTATTTTAGCCCAACCCTCTCACCCACAACACAAGTCAAAATAATCCACATTACAAAATACTACCATATTCTATATAATACTACCACCAATGGTATACAAAACATTAACAAAAACAACAAAACACATGCGCGCACACACACACACACACACACACACACACACACACACACAGACACACACACACACACACACACACACACACAAACAAACAAAGCTTTAAAATGAAACAGATTTGTAAAATTTTCTAGTTCATCCTTTAAAGTGTTCCACAGAGTAACTCCTCGCACTGAGACACACACTGACTTTAAGGTGGTCCACAGAGTAACTCCTCGCACTGAGACACACACTGACTTTAAGGTGGTCCACAGAGTAACTCCTCGCACTGAGACACACACTGACTTTAAGGTGTTCCACAGAGTAACTCCTCGCACTGAGACACACACTGACTTTAAGGTGTTCCACAGAGTAACTCCTCGCACTGAGACACACACTGACTTTAAAGTGGTCCTAAATTTAGGCAAGTACATTTTTATTTCCTCTTAGTCTGTGACTATGATGCGCGTCTCTGTCACAAAATAAGTTCTGAACATTTGGAGGCAGAGAGTTTTCCGATGCCCTGAACATAATTTGAGCAGTTTTAAAGTGAATCAAATCTTGTAATTTAAGTGTTTCTATGAACAGGGGATGAGTGTGATGTTTGTGGTGAACATTAGAGACTATCCTTATGGCCTTTTTCTGCAGACTGAGATTTGTTGCAGTTTCCCCACACTTCAACACAGTCATTTAAATATGACATGATGAAAGAACGATACAACATTAGAAAAGCATTGGTGCTGAGTTACTCTCTTCATCATTCCAACACATTTAGCAACCTTTGAACTGATGAAAGGAGGGGGGAGGGGGGGAGAGAAGAGGTAATGACAGCTGCACTTCCACCAGAGGGAGCTCTTGTTTTCACCTGTGCATTCCTTGTCCGTCAGAGGCGTTTCACTATTGGTCCACTCTAGCCACGCCCCCTCTTTAGTGACACACCCCCAGATCCTAGACAGGAAGTTAGGCTGCGCCGGCAGGAAGTCACCTGACTCAGAGCACCGCCTCCTCTGCTGCTGACACTCCGTCTTACCTGAAAGAACAAGTGTGTTAGCATCAACCTCAGTCACGCTAAAATGCTAACATGCTAACACGCTTACATTGATGGACAGAGGATGCTCCAATCTCAGAAGACCCTCGAGGACATGTCACACAGAAGTCCCGCCCCTCTTCATCCTGATATGTTCCCGAGGGACAGTGGAGACACGCCCCCTTAGAGGAGAAGTAGCCAGGAGGACAGAGGACTGAGGAGAGGAGAGGAGAGAGAGGAAGATAGAGAGGAGAGAGGGGAGGAGAGAGAGGAGAGGAGCAAGAGGAGGAGAGAAAGGAGGAGAGAGGGGAGAGGAGCGAGAGGAGGAGAGAAAGGAGGAGAGAGGGGTGAGGAGAGAGAGGGGAGAGGAGACATGATTACACTTCTGATTCCTTCTGACTTGTTCTGAGTCTGGTCTTGGTCCTGGTCCTGGTCTCACCACACGCGTCTTTCTCGGCACTGAGGCTGAATCCTGGCGTGCAGCCGAACTCCGGTGATGTCACAGTGACCAGTCGCAGCTCTGACATCATCTGTGACATCATCAGATTACCCAGAATGCTCTGCACCTCCTCCAGGAAGTGAGTGCTGTTCAGGAACACAGCTGCAACATAAGATACACTGTCACTCCCGGATTCGACGGATTCGGAAGTTCAGTTTGATCCATTGATCATACGCAGCAGTAGATCACGTCACGGAATCTGGACGGAAGCGGAAGTAAATATAACAAACTACCTATTCATGCCTAACCTTAACCAGCCATTCCCATAAAATAACCCCAACCCACCCTTAACCCTAACCTTAACCATCTTACTCAGACCACCTTAACCCTAACCTTAACCATCTTACTCAGACCACCTTAACCCTAACCTTAACCATCTTACTCAGACCACCTTAACCCTAACCTTAACCATCTTACTCAGACCACCTTAACCCTAACCTTAACCCTAAACTCAGATGCCTTAACTTGACCAGTCTCCACTTAAGGACTTATTACACTTTTTGACATGCGCAAACTGAACTTCCGGACGAATACGGGAGTGACATACACGTTTAAAACAAACACAAGATGGCCGCCTCATCTGACTCCGCCCCCTTCTCTGACCCCACAGAGTACTCGGACCCGGACGAGTGCTGGTCTCTTGCAACAGTCATAGCACACATGTGACCACATGGTACTTCTATGCTCTGACCCCATGGTACTTCTATACTCTGACCACATGGTACTTCTATACTCCGACCACATGGTATTTCTATACTCTGACCCCATGGTACTTCTATGCTCTGACCCCATGGTACTTCTATGCTCTGACCCCATGGTACTTCTATGCTCTGACCCCATGGTACTTCTATGCTCTGACCACATGGTACTTCTATGCTCTGACCACATGGTACTTCTATGCTCTGACCCCATGGTGCTTCTGGGTGCTTCGCATGGCGCCGTAAAGATGGCGCCGTGGCAAGAGCTCTGGTGTGTGTCGTCTGGTGCACACCGGGGTAGTCTTGCACAGTTTTTCCAATGTGGTTTTACTGCAAATGGAAAATAAATGAATCTGAATCTGAATCTGAATCTTCTATACTCTCTGACCAGATGGTACTTTGGTCTCACTCTGGCCTTACTCTAGTCTCACTCTGGTCTCACTCACCTGAAGTGTGCAGGTCCAGCAGATCTTCAGGTCTCAGTTCAGACATGTGCAGAGTCCAGGTCAGGACCAGATCCACTGAGTCCTGGTCACAGTGAAGACCCACTGTGGTCCCATCACAGAGAGAGATGGTCCTCGACGAGACTGGGGCCTGGAAGCAGACCAGAGACCGGACTTTAGAGAGACTAGAGAGAGACCAGAGAGAGAGACCAGAGAGAGACCAGAGACCCGGCTTTAGAGAGATTAGAGAGAGACCAGAGAGAGAGACCAGAGAGAGAGACCAGAGAGAGGGACCAGAGAAAGAGACCAGAGACCGGACTTTGGAGAGATTAGAGAGAGACCAGAGAGAGAGACCAGAGAGAGAGACCAGAGAGAGAGGCCAGCGAGAGAGAGGCCAGAGAGAGAGACCAGAGAGAGGGACCAGAGAAAGAGACCAGAGAGAGGGACCAGAGAGAGAGACCAGAGACCGGACTTTAGAGAGACCAGAGAGAGACCAGAGGAAGACACCAGAGACCGGACTTTGGAGAGATTAGAAAGAGACCAGGGAGAAACCAGAGAGAGACCAGAGCGAGAGACCAGAGAGAGACCAGAGAGAGACCAGAGCGAGAGACCAGAGAGAGACCAGAAAGAAACCAAAGAGAGACGGGAATGAGACAATTTGGCAGCATTGCTCAGACGTTTTTTCTTGAATGAAAAACATATACTGATTGCTGACTTGGTGTGTGGTCTGAGCAGAGCCTGTGGGGAGGAGCTGTCAGGAGCACACTGTCTGACTGACAGTCACAGTCTGACCGTCACAGTCTCTGCACACTCACAGTCTGACCGTCACAGTCTCTGACCGTCACAGTCTCTGACCGTCACAGTCTGACCGTCACAGTCTGACAGTCACAGTCTGACAGTCACAGTCTCTGACCGTCACAGTCTGACCGTCACAGTCTCTGACCGTCACAGTCTGACCGTCACAGTCTGACAGTCACAGTCTGACCGTCACAGTCTGACAGTCACAGTCTGACCGTCACAGTCTGACCGTCACAGTCTGACAGTCACAGTCTCTGACCGTCACAGTCTGACCGTCACAGTCTGACAGTCACAGTCTCTGACCGTCACAGTCTGACCGTCACAGTCTGACAGTCACAGTCTGACCGTCACAGTCTGACCGTCACAGTCTCTGACCGTCACAGTCTGACCGTCACAGTCTGACCGTCACAGTCTCTGACCGTCAGTCTGACCGTCACAGTCTGACCGTCACAGTCTCTGACCGTCACAGTCTGACAGTCACAGTCTCTGACCGTCACAGTCTGACCGTCACAGTCTGACCGTCACAGTCTCTGACCATCACAGTCTCTGACCGTCACAGTCTGACCGTCACAGTCTCTGACAGTCACAGTCTGACCGTCACAGTCTCTGACCATCACAATCTCTGACCGTCACAGTCTGAACGTCACAGTGTGACCGTCACAGTCTCTGACCGTCACAGTCTGACCGTCACAGTCTGACAGTCACAGTCTGACCGTCACAGTCTCTGACCGTCACAGTCTCTGACCGTCACAGTCTGACCGTCACAGTCTCTGACCGTCACAGTCTGACAGTCACAGTCTCTGACCGTCACAGTCTGACCGTCACAGTCTGACCGTCACAGTCTGACCGTCACAGAGTCTGGTCTGGAACAGATGGTCATGGGTTCAATCCCTCTCACTTATCCAGTCTTTACATCGTGTGATCATAAATATTGTGTGTGTTTGTCACAAACATAATATTATATCTTATTATGTTTTATATATAACACAATATAAATATGTAAATATATTCATCACCATCATAATCATCTTCACCATCATCACCATCATCATCTTCATCATCTTCACCATCATCATCATCTTCACCACCATCATCTTCATCATCATCACCATCATCATCATCATCATCATCATCTTCATCACCATCATCATCATCACCATCATCTTCATCATCATCACCATCATCATCTTCATCACCATCATCATCTTCATCACCATCATCTTCATCATCATCATCTTCTTCATCCTCATCTTCTTCATCATCATCATCATCTTCATCACCATCATCATCATCACCATCATCTTCATCATCACCATCTTCTTCATCACCATCCTCATCATCATCACCATCACCATTATAATCATCATCTTCATCATCACCATCTTCTTCATCACCATCATCATCACCATCATCTTCATCATCACCATCTTCTTCATCACCATCTTCATCTTCATCATCTTCATCATCACCATCTTCTTCATCACCATCATCATCATCACCATCATCATCACCATCATCTTCATCTTCATCATCTTCATCATCATCATCATCATCTTCATCCTTTTACAGCAGAATCAGTGATGACTGTCACTTGTATAATGGACCAAGGTACAAACCAGACCCAGACCTAAACCAGATCCAGACCAGACCCGACCAGACCTCGGTCTCTTGTTTCTATCCTAAACTTTTCTCAAAACTCCTGACTCTGCAGAAAGAGAAACACCAGGAGCTCTCGTCCAATCTCAGCGCAGTGTGGAGGGCCCTCCAGACCTGGTCCAATCACAGCGCAGCGTGGAGGGCCCTCCAGACCTGGTCCAATCACAGCGCAGCGTGGAGGGCCCTCGGTGCTGAGCTGCTGGAGCATGAGAACCATGTGGACTCAGTGTGACTCAGCTCTGTGGCAGTATAAAGAGACTGGTCCAGACCGGGCCCAGACCAGAGCCAGATCAAGACCAGGACCATGGAGCGGATCCAGACCTGGACTCAGACCCTGATGTGGGTCCTGCTCAGTCTGGGACCCGTGTGGACCAAACCCTCAGGTAAGACCAAGACCAGACCGAGACCAGACCAGAGACCAAGATCTAAGACAAAGACTTGAGACCAGACCTGGCCCTGACCCCGGTCTTGGTCCTGACCCTGCTCCTGGCCCTGACCCCGGTCCTGGTCCTGACCCCGGTCCTGGTCCTGACCCTGCTCCTGGCCCTGACCCCGGTCCTGGTCCTGCACCCAGTCCTGGTCCTGACCCTGGTCCGTGTCTGTCTGCAGAGTACCAGCTGGACCAGACCATCAGTCCCTGTGAGAGGCTCCGAGACTCTGGACCTGGACTTCACTGCAACGTGGACGGAGACTTCAGGTAAGACCAGCAACACACAACCAGAGACCAGCAACACACAACCAGAGACCAGCAACACACAACCAGAGACCAGCAACACACAACCAGAGACCAGCAATACAACCAGAGACCAGCAACACAACCAGAGACCAGCAACACAATCAGAGACCAGCAACACACAACCAGAGACCAGCAACCCACAACCAGAGACCAGCAACACACAACCAGAGACCAGCAACACAACCAGAGACCAGCAAAACAACTAGAGACCAGCAACACACAACCAGAGACCAGCAACACAACCAGAGATTAGCAACACACAACCAGAGACCGGCAAAACAACTAGAGACCAGCAACACACAACCAGAGACCAGCAACACAACCAGAGACAAGCACCACACAACCAGAGACCAGCAACACACAACCAGAGACCAGCAACACACAACCAGAGACCAGCAACACACAACCAGAGACCAGCAACACAACCAGAGACCAGCAACACAACCAGAGACCAGCAAAACAACCAGAGACCAGCAACACACAACCAGAGACCAGCAACACACAACCAGAGACCAGCAACACACAACCAGAGACCAGCAACACAACCAGAGACCAGCAACACAACCAGAGACCAGCAAAACAACTAGAGACCAGCAACACACAACTAGAGACCAGCAACACACAACCAGAGACCAGCGACACAACCAGAGACCAGCAACACAACCAGAGACCAGCAACACAACCAGAGACCAGCAACACAACCAGAAACCAGCAACACACAACCAGAGACCAGCAACACACAACCAGAGACCAGCAACACAACCAGAGACCAGCAACACAACCAGAGACCAGCAACACAACCAGAGACCAGCAACACAACCAGAGACCAGCAACACACAACCAGAGACCAGCAACACAACCATGTATTTAAAGGTCCATATTCGGTTCATGTTTCAGTCTCAGCACAAGTGATAATAATGTGACACCATACAGCACCTCCTCCTCCTCCTCCTCCTCCTCTAACGGTCCTGTCTCCTCCTCCTCCTCTAACGGTCCTGTCTCCTCCTCCTCTTCTAACGGTCCTGTCTCTTCCTCCTCCTCCTCTTCTAACGGTCCTGTCTCCTCCTCCTCCTCTAATGGTCCTGTCTCCTCCTCCTCCTCCTCCTCCTCCTCCAACGGTCCTGTCTCCTCCTCCTCCTCCTCTAACAGTCCTGTTTCCTCCTCCTCCTCTAACGGTCCTGTCTCCTCCTCAGTCCAGTGCAGTGTTCTGGAGGACAGTGCTGGTGTGTGGATCTCGAGGGACTCGAACTTAACGGGACTAGGACCCAAGACCAGAATCCTCACTGTGAGTCTGAGACCAAACCTGAGACCAGACCATACCGTATAAGAGAGCAGACAGAGAGCAGACCTGAGACCAGACCAGAGACCAGACCTGAGACCAAACTTATACGGTATGGTCTGGTCTCAGGTCTGGTCTCAGGTCTCAGGTCTGGTCTCAGGTCTGCTCTCTTACATGGTCTGGTCTCTGGTCTGGTCTCAGGTCTGCTCTCTGTCTGCTCTCTTACATGGTCTGGTCTCAGACCAGACCATGTAAGAGAGCAGACCTGAGACCAGACCTGAGACCAGACCATGTAAGAGACCAGACCTGAGACCTGAGACCAGACCTGAGACCAGACCATACCGTATAAGAGAGCAGACAGAGAGCAGACCAGAGACCAGACCAGAGACCAGACCATGTAAGAGAGCAGACCTGAGAGCAGACCTGAGACCAGACCATGTAAGAGACCAGACTATGTAAGAGAGCAGACCTGAGCCCAGACCTGAGACCTGAGACCAGACCTGAGACCAGACCATACCGTATAAGAGAGCAGACAGAGAGCAGACCAGAGAGCAGACCAGAGAGCAGACCAGAGACCAGAGCTGGTCTGAGTGTGACCTCTGACCCCAGGTGCCTCTCGGTGCCAGTTGCAGTCCGTGCTCAGCTGCGCCCCCTCTGGTCGCTTTGAGGCGCTGCAGTGTGACACCAGCAGGGGGCAGTGCTGGTGCGTGGACCAGGACTCAGGACGAGAGGTCTACGGGACCAGAACCAACCAGAGAGACCCCCCCCAGTCCTGTGAGTCCGCTCTAATCTGAGTCATCTTTAATATGAGCCATCTCTAATCTGGGTCATCTCTAATCTGAGTCAGATCTAATCTGAGTCAGATCTAATCTGAGTCAGATCTAATCTGAGTCATCTCTAATCTGAGTCATCTCTAATCTGAGTCATCTCTAATCTGAGTCATCTCTAATCTGAGTCAGATCTAATCTGAGTCATCTCTAATCTGAGTAAAACATATTTTCACTCCTCTGCACCTCCTCTGCACCTCCTCTGCTCCTCCTCTGTTCCTCCCTCTGCCTCTTCCTCTATTGCTCATCTGGTCCTTCCTCTGGTCCTCCTCGGCCCCTCCTCTTCTCCTCCTCTGGTCCAGGTCCTAGTCCCTGTGAGGTCCTCTCCAGGGGCCTCCTCCACTCCTCCTCTCCTGCAGCACCTCCTCTCTGCTCAGATGACGGACACTTCCTCCCAGTTCAGTGTAGATTCATCAACTCCAGCGACGGCAGCGAGATGGACCTGACCTCCTCCTTCAGCAGGTGAGCACCTCCTCCTTCAGCAGGTGAGCACCTCCATCACCTTCTCCTGCAGCAGATTAACTCCTCCTCCTTCTCCTCCTGCAGTAGATTAACACCTCCTCCTTCTCCTCATGCAGTAGATTAACACCTCCTCCTTCTACTCATGCAGCAGATTAACTCCTCTTCCTTCTCCTCCTGCAGTAGATTAACACCTCCTCCTTCTCCTCATTCAGAAGACTAACACCTCCTCCTTCCCCTCCTGCAACAGACTAACACCTCCTCCTTCTCCTCCTGCAGTAGACTAACACCTCCTCCTTCTCCTCCTGCAGTAGACTAACACCTCCTCCTTCTCCTCCTGCAGTGCTCCTCAGGCGTTTGAATCGTTCTCCGGCTTCAGGAGTTTCTTTCCAGATGTTTCTGCGTTCTGCTTCTGTGTCGACCGAAGGGGGAGAGAGGAGGGAGGCACGGGTGAGTCCAACACGGTCTACAGTCTCAGTCCTGGGTCAACAGCCTCAGTCCTGGGTCTACAGCCTCAGTCCTGGGTCTACAGCCTCAGTCCTGGGTCTACAGTCTCAGTCCTGGGTCTACAGCCTCAGTCCTGGGTCTACAGCCTCAGTCCTGGGTCTACAGCCTCGGTCTTGGACATGAATGTCAGGTCTTGCAGGTCTGGAGCTGCTGATGGACCAGGTCTATGACTCGGCGTTCTCTGGTCTAAAGTCTGGGACGACGGTTTCTGATTCAAACGTCTACAGAGTTCTGAAGAGAAGGCTCCTGGGCGTACAGCTGGTCCTGACCGGGAACTACAGATGTGAGACCACAGCTCATCTCTGGTCTCTCTCTGGTCTCGCTCTCTGGTCTCTCTCTGGTCTCTCTCTGGTCTCTCTCTCTGGTCTCTGTCTGGTCTGTCTCTGGTCTCCCTCTGGTCTCCCTCTGGTCTGTTTCTGGTCTCTCTCTCTGGTCTCCCTCTGGTCTCACTCTGGTCTCCCTCTGGTCTCACTCTGGTCTCCCTCTGGTCTCCCTCTGGTCTCCCTCTGGTCTCACTCTGGTCTCTCTTTAGTCTCACTCTGGTCTCTCTGTCAGGTCCTTCTCTGTGTGAGTCTGTCAGAGGATCCTGTGAGGCAGATGGTTCGTTCAGTTCCACTCAGTGCCACCAGGGGCAGTGTTGGTGTGTGGACTCAGAGGGGAGAGAGACCCCCGGGACCAGAGCGAGTCCAGAACGTCTTCGCTGCGGTGAGTCTGAACATGACGAGTCTGAACATGATGAGTCTCTGGTCTCTCTCTGGTCTCTCTCTGGTATCTCTCTGGTCTCTCTCTCTGGTCTCTCTCTGGTCTCTCTCTCTGGTCTCTCTCTGGTCTCTCTCTGGTCTCTCTCTCTGGTCTCTCTCTGGTCTCTCTTTGGTCTCTCTCTGGTATCTCTCTGGTCTCTCTCTGGTCTCTCTCTGGTCTCTCTCTGGTCTCTCTCTCTGGTCTCTCTCTGGTCTCTCTCTGGTTTCTCTCTCTGGTCCCTCTCTCTGGTATCTCTCTCTCTGGTCTCTCTCTCTGGTCTCTCTCTCTGGTCTCTCTCTGGTCTCTCTCTGGTCTCTCTTTGGTCTCTCTCTGGTCTCTCTCTGGTATCTCTCTGGTCTCTCTCTGGTCTCTCTCT